GAAATGTGGGATTGATAGAAAATCTTCTTCCATTGGCGTTATCATCATCAAGAATATTGGGAGAAGATGTGACAATTTCTCAAGGGAAAGGACAAGAGAAAGGTGATGTGAAATTAGTGGATTATTCAGGAGATCGCGTCGATTATTACATAAGATCGTCCATTAAAAACGCATTTTCTAAGGTAAAAACATAAATTTTATTTGTGCTTTCATTTTATCTCTGTTTTGAGGGTTCTGAAAATCTTTGTTACAGGTGATAGAAAACACAAAAGCTAAGATCGCAGCTACAGATGAAGGAGAAGAAGCGGCTGGAACGTTGTTACAGCTAGCTAAGGAAACAGAGGAGCTAGCGTTAAGGGAACGCGAATGTTTCAGCCCGATACTCAAGAGATGGCACTCGGTTGCTGCTGGTGTTGCCTCGGTGTCACTTCACCAATGTTATGGCTCGATCTTGATGCAATATTTGGCTGGAAGATCATTTATCTCAAGGGATACTGTTGAGGTTTTGCAAACGGCAGGGAAGCTCGAGAAGGTGTTGGTGCAGATGGTGGCTGAAGATTCAGAGGAATGCGATGACGGTGGAAAGGGGCTTGTACGAGAGATGGTTCCTTATGAAGTCGATTCTATTATATTGCGTCTTTTGAGACAGTGGGTCGAAGAAAAGCTGAAGAGAGTTCAAGAGTGTTTATTTAGAGCAAAGGAAACTGAAGTAAGTTTTAGAGATTTTACTTGTGATCCAAGAAACATTACTTCACCTTACATTGGTGTTTGCTTTCTTTCTTTGTAGACGTGGAACCCAAAATCCAAATCAGAACCTTACGCACAATCCGCAGGAGAGTTGATGAAGCTAGCGAAGGACACGATCGATGAGTTCTTCGAAATCCCTATCGGGATTACAGAAGATCTTGTTCATGATATTGCTGAAGGATTGGAACAACTTTTTCAAGAATACACCACATTTGTTGCATCTTGTGGTAAGTAAATAATCAAAATCTGTATATTGCAACAAGAAAATTTGTGATCTCTAATTCTTTAATTGTTCAGGATCGAGACAGAGTTATATCCCTACATTACCTCCTCTTACAAGATGCAACAGAGATTCCAGATTCGTTAAGTTATGGAAGAGAGCTGCACCGTGTACTACTTCCAACGAAGATTTCAAATACACCACAACTGTCATATCCGACGGTCACCATCCTCGGCCATCCACAAGCCGCGGGACACAACGTCTATACATTCGGCTTAACACCTTACATTTCTTAAGCTCACATATCCACTCCTTAAACAAAACACTCTCTTTAAACCCGAGGATACTTCCCGCAACTCGAAAACGTTACCGCCATAGAAACAACAACTCATCTTCTTATTTCGATTTCACATACGCTGGAATCGAATCCGCTTGCCAACACGTTTCAGAGGTCGCAGCTTACCGTTTGATTTTCCTTGATTCGAACTCTGTTTTCTACGAAAGCCTCTACGTAGGAGAAGTTGCAAACGCGAGGATCAGACCAGCTTTACGCATAATGAAACAGAACTTAACATTGATGTCAGCGATTCTTGCGGATAGAGCTCAATCATTAGCGATGAGGGAGGTTATGAAATCATCATTCGAAGCGTTCTTGATGGTCCTTCTCGCCGGTGGATACTCCCGAGTGTTCTATAGATCGGATCACAGTCTTATCGAAGAAGATTTCGAGAACTTGAAAAGGGTGTTTTGTACTTGTGGTGAAGGGTTGATACCTGAAGAAGTGGTGGACAGAGAGGCAGAGACAGTGGAGGGAGTGATTCAGCTTATGAGTCAACCAACAGAACAACTTATGGAAGATTTTAGCATTGTAACGTGTGAGACAAGTGGAATGGGGATGGTTGGTTCTGGACAGAAGCTACCAATGCCTCCAACTACAGGACGATGGAACCGGTCTGATCCGAACACAATCTTGAGGGTTCTTTGTCATAGAAACGACCGTGTTGCTAATCAGTTCTTAAAGAAATCGTTTCAGTTGCCAAAACGAAGGTGAATTGGTAAGTAAGAAAGAAAGGACAAAAAAAAGTATTCAACTACAAAAAAATGTTGGTGTTGGTAAGGGACGTGAACTTGGATTCGTTGTGTAAATGGCTTTAAAAGTATATATGGTTTTCGAGTTTTGGGACTGATTTGTAATTTTAAAAAAAAAAAATTCTTTTTTTTTGTTGCATTGAGGTTGAAGAGAATTGTTTGTTGTTTACGAGGAAAATATTCGTTAATTCTTTTATTAGATGTGTTCATAGATAGAAGTCTTATGTGTTTTTTAAAGATTTTAATGAGATTTTCTGCAATACAAAGAATCAAAGATATTGTAACAAGTTCTTGCGATAAATATTGAAATTTTATGGGCCTTGAGCCCAACTTATGCGAAGCCCATGTATAAGAAAATAAAAAATTCGAAGATAAAAACCTGAGTCAAAACCAAAACCCTATCCACTTTACTCTAAACCTCCATTGCCTTCGTCTTTCTTCTTCAGTCGCCCTACAATGGCCTTGCCTTTGTCTGGCACGCGCCACCTCACGCGCGCTCTTCTCTCTAATGTCACCGTAATGGCTTCTCCTCGGGTTCCTTCCTCTGTTCACTGCGGTGGATCTCGGTTTGGTTACTCGACCCGGTTCTTTTCAATCCGATGCGGAGCTAACCGGTCAGGCTCTGCTTACTCGCCGCTTAACTCTGGCTCTAACTTTAGTGATCGGCCTCCAACGGAGATGGCTCCTTTGTTTCCGGGATGTGATTATGAGCACTGGCTTATTGTTATGGATAAACCTGGCGGTGAAGGTGCGACGAAGCAGCAGATGATTGATTGTTACATTCAAACTTTAGCTAAAGTCGTTGGAAGGTAAAATATTCAAATCAAGGGCATCAAATTTGATTGAATTTCAAAGCATAAATGTGTAGTTTACTTTGTGTATTTGACTCTGTGTGGTGTTTTGTGTGGTTTTGGTTAGTGAGGAAGAGGCGAAGAAGCGAATCTACAATGTTTCGTGTGAGAGGTATTTGGGGTTTGGCTGTGAGATTGATGAAGAGACATCGACTAAGCTTGAAGGTCTTTTACTTTGAACTTGTTTCTTATGTTAGCTATGTGTTAACTGATAATAAAGGGGGACGATTCTTAAAGTGTTACTTTGTTTACGACAGGTTTACCTGGTGTTCTGTTTGTGCTTCCAGATTCCTATGTGGATCCTGAAAACAAAGATTATGGAGGTAATTGTTCTCCCTATTATTCAATTTTAACCTAAATGTTTGCTTTATTTCTCAAAATGAAATCTTTGCTAGTGCCATTGACATTGCTAATTTTTGAGTCTTGGTGTGTGCCTCTCTTGAAACATGAAAGAAATGTTTTGATTAGTCCATCTTGGCAAAGCTGAGTCTTTTGGCCATGCTTAGCTTTGAATGCTAATGGACTGACATCATCTATTTTCTCTTAGCCGAATTGTGCAGATAGTTAAATAATATATCTAACTGCAGTCTGGTTTAGGTGAAAACATATATTGCATGCAACTCTAGAGTGCTTTTCTCTAGGAAAGTGAAGACATGTTATTGATCATCAGTCCATCTTGGCGAAGCTAATGAGTCTTTTGGCTATGATTAGCTTTGAATGCTAATGGACTGACATCAAATATTTTTATCTAAGCTGACTTTTGCAGATAGTTAGTGTAATATCTACCTGCAGACCGGTTTAGATAAAACATACATTACATCCCCTGAGTGCTCCTTGCTTCAATTAGTAAATTTTGGTGAACCTAGTGAATCTACTGGCCCTATCTGCGCACTAAATTAATTACATGACCGGTTGAGATGATAAAATATATACAAACTAATAGTGTCAGTGTGTCACTCTCACTAACCATGGAAAAGATAGCTCAAAGTCCATCTTGGTAAAGTTAATAAATCTTTTTTGGCAATGTTTAGTTTTGAATGCTAATAGACTTGTATCAGCCTCTTCTCTTGGTCTATGTGTGGATTTAGAATAGCAACATGGTTAATTCCCTGGTTGAGATAAAGCATATACATACCCATAAAGTCCATCTTGGCAAAGCTAGTAGTTTTCAGCCATTTCTAGTTTTTGAATGCTAATGGACTCACATCCAGATTCTCTCTTTCCTGTGCTGTGCTCTTGATATTGGGGAAACATAGACTCAATTACGAGAGATACACCAGCTTTAGATTTCTTGAATTAAATCTCAACTATACTAGGTGATGTTGAATTCTGATTTGTATATTCTTAATCTGTGTTGTTGACTTGCAGCTGAGCTGTTTGTTAATGGAGAGATAGTCCAACGATCACCAGAGAGGCAGAGGCGAGTTGAGCCGCAGCCGCAGAGAGCCCAAGATAGACCAAGATACAATGACAGAACTCGTTACTCTCGCCGCAGAGAAAACACAAGATGAACTGTAACTGAAGAAGGTATACGCACACCGAATCAAAGAAAAGAAAAGCCAGTACGATGATGATGATAATGGTGGTGCTGACAAGGATGGTAATGATGTTGCTGCTGCCAGGCGAAGGTTCTGTGTCTTTGCAGTTAATGGACTTGCGTTGGATATTGTTGAAACGCTAAGTTTTGATTCTATGTAACATTTTTATATAATAATGTAAATCGAGGTTTCGCTGTTTTAGGAAAAAGATATTGGGTACTACTTAGATATCAAAATTAGTTTTCTTTATATAAGAACAAAAAATGTTTCTTTTCTTGACGTTGTACCCATTTATGTGGCAAATGGTGAATTACTTTCATTATCATTCAGTAAAGTTTTAGAATACTGAAACCTGCAATGAGACAATTACTCTTGTGTGAAAATAAGTGAATAAATTTTATGATTTTTTTGGGGTTAAAAAGGAACAATATTAAAAATGAATGGGCGATCTAATGAATTCTCCAATAAATAAGGGGAAAATGAAAAGTAAAGAAGTTGATTTAAAAATCCAGACAAAATCTTCTGCTGTGAGTTTTTTTTTTTAATCTATTGCCCCCGAGAAAAGTTGACGAAACTCTCTACCGGAGGCGCTAGTTTTCGCCGTCGGCGAGGCAATTTCATTTGCCGGAGGTGCGACGCTTCTCCTCCGCTTCTTTTTTTTTTGCTCTTGTGATTTCGTCTCTCATATCAAGCTTGTTTATGCCTTCTCTTTGGGTGTATATAGTTGGATTGGTCAAAGAATCACGATTGCTTCTTCATTTCGATGTAACTTAGGGTTTGTGTGAGCATATGATTGCTGAGAAGTAGCTAGTAATTGAATGTCTATGTGGTTAGTGGGTGGGAGAATGGGCTGTGGAGATTTTTCTACTCTGCGCCGTCTAGTTCTTTAGGTCGTTGATTACTTAATGCGATAAGATTCAATCGGATCGTAGTTCTAATTTATTCGTTTGTTTTGAAGTTTCTAGTCAACCAGTTAGGAAATGGTGTTGGATTTTATAGGCGCACCCATAGTTTCATGTACTATCAGTTAGATAACTTGCTTTTTCTGGTGGTTTGGAACTTGTTAAATGTGATCGAAGATCTATCTATGATATGATAGAAAATTCTGAAATAGTATGGTGTTAGCACATTGGTATGTTGCTGTTTCTGTGATTTGGCTCCAAGTATCTAGTAATTTTGCAGTTCCTGGTAATAATATCTATGGTGCAAAAGATGAGGGAGTGGAAATTGTGAATTAAAATCATGAATTCAGTTTTTTAGTTAATGATCTATGTCTGCTGATGATTGTCTCTCTGCTCATTATCTCAAAGGAATAAAATAATCTACATTTTCTTAGCAAGCAGGATGAACGAACTTAATAAGCAAAAGGAAAAGCCTGATGGACATGAAAAGCTTGTAAATGAAGGATCTGCTGCTAGAACAAGACCTACAAGTGTAGAGGAGATTAGGCTAAGAAGGAAGAGGAAAGAGTCCTTGGAAAATGTGAAGGAGGAAACTGTAGGAGAAGCTCAGTTACTGGGTTACGACCTTGTTGAGCAGGCTTCTGACTATCATGATTCTGAAAAAGGGTATGATGGATCCGAGAATTTGAGGCGTGAAGAACATGTTAAGGACAGTTCAAGAAAGGAAAATGATGCCATTTCTAGTTCTAGGGAAGAAAAACTAGTAAAACCGATGAAAGAGGACCCTGTGGGAGTAGCTCAGTTACCCGGTCAAAATCTTGTTGAGAAGGTTTCTGACTGTCATGAGTCTGAAAAAGGGTATGATACATCCGAGAAACTGAGGCATGAAGAGCTTGCTATGGACAGCTCAAGAAAGAAAGAAGAGGCTATATCTAGTTCTAGAGAAGAAAGAATAGATAAACCAATGAAAGATGATAAAGCAGCTCAGTTACTAGGTAATGATCTTGTTGAGAAGGTTCCTGACTATCATGCGTCCGAAAAAGGGCATGATAGATCCAAGAAAGTGAGGCGTGAAGAACGTGTTAAGGACAGTTTAAGAAAGAAAGAGGACACAACTTCTAGTTCTAGGAAAGAAGCACCAATGAAAGAGGATCATGTGAGAGCAGCTCAGTTACTGGGTAACGATATTGTTGAGAAGTTTTCTGACTATCATGCATCTGAAAAAGGGAATGATAGATCCAAGAAAGTGAGGCGTGAAGAACGTGTTAGGGACAGTTCAAGAAAGAAAGAAGACTCCATTTCTAGTTCAAGGGAAGAAAAATTAATGAAAGAGGATCATGTGGGAACAGCTCAGTTACTGGGTCACAATATTGTTGAGAAGGTTTCTGACTATCATGCGTCTGAAAAAGGGCATGATAGATCGACGAAAGTGAGGAGTGACGAACGTGTTAAGGACAGCTCAAGAATGAAGGAAGACGCCACTTCTAGTTCTAGGGAAGAAAGGGTAGATAAACCAATGAAAGAGGACCCTGTTGGAGCATCTCAGTTACTGGGTCACAATATTGTTGAGAAGGTTTCTGACTATCATACGTCTGAAAAAGGGCATGACAGATCCAAGAAAGTGAGGCGTGAAGAACGTGTTAAGGACAGTTCAAGAAAGAAAGAAGACGCAATTTCTAGTTCTAGAGAAGAAAAACTGATGAAAGAGGATCATGTGGGAGCTGCTCAGTTTCTGGGTAACGATCTTGTTGAGATGGTTTCTGACTATCATGAGTCTGAAAAAGGGTATGACAGATCCGAGAAATTGAGGCGGGAAGAGCGTGTTAAGGACAGTTCAAGAAAGAAGGAAGAGGCTATTTCTAGTTCCAGAGAAGAAAAACTAGATAAACCAAAAAAAGATGAGCCTGCTTCAAATAGAAAAAGGAAAGCAGAAGGAGAGAGTTCTACAGCTGAAACAGAATCAATGGAAGAACATAGTAAGGATAGACGAGGAAAGAAAGAAGAAACTATTTCTAGGTGTAGGGAGGAAAGACGAGATAAAAAGATTAAGAAGGAAGACCTTGCTTCAAACAGAAAAATTGAAGGAGAAATCCCTACAACTGAAACAAAAGCAATGACAGATAGAGATGGGCTTGATAGTAAGAAGCGTCTTAGAAGTCTAGTGGTGGCAGACGTACCTCGAGATGAAAGTAGTATAAAACCTGACAATGAAGACAAGAGAAAGAATCAAAATGGAGATCATAAGAAGAATAGGGAGATGACTATGTCAAAGAGGCATGATCCAGGAAAAGTGCACAGTGTTGAAGTTTCAGAGCGAAGGGAGAGAAGGGAACAACCAAAATCACATCAACGCGACATGAGAGAGAAAAGGAGGAGATCAAGAAGTCGAGATCATGGGCAGGACAGACAGAAAAGGTCATCCCCTTTACCAAGGGCTGAAAAGGCTACATCGCGTCATAAGAGAAGCCATGAGGAGCGATCGGAAAATGTTGTTAAAGATAGGTCGGAAAAACATCATTGTAATGATAATGAAGACAAAGGGGCAAGCACTGTAAGTAACAAGTCTAGACGGTATAGTGCTTCCAAAAGTGAACTTGGTGGATATTCACCACGGAAAAGAAGGGAGGAAGCATCTACCAAGGCTGTATCTCCACCTAATCTTTCTTCCGAGAAGAAAAGTGCTAAATGGGATCTTACACCTACTGTAACTTCTGGCATGTTCTCGGGCCCAGTTTTTTCTGGTCTCCAAGCAGCAACTCAGACAGCATATCCTACCATCAGTGAGGCTTCCTTGATGCTTTTGAAGCCACTTATGGAGGGGACTTTTAGGACACCACCGCCAAGGCAGATCACTTCATTTGATTCTGTTCAACTGACCGAATCCACCAGACGTATGAGGAGACTTTACGCAGAAAATGTGCCGGATTCGGCCTCTGAGAAGTCTCTGATTGAATGCTTCAATGGCTATATGCTATCTTCAGGGTCCAATCACATAAAAGGAAGTGAACCATGTATTAGCTGTATTGTAAGTTTCTGTCGTATGACTTCCTTTATGATATCATTCTTGTTATGTTTGTGGATTATATCACCTGATAGTATTTATGTCTTTTAAATGCAGATAAACAAGGAAAAAAGTCAGGCGTTAGTGGAGTTCCTTACGCCACAGGATGCCTCTGCTGCACTCTCCTTGGATGGCTGCTCCTTTGCGGGTTCAAACCTTAAAATTCGACGCCCTAAAGACTATGTCGGGACAACAGTAAGAATTACAATTTCTACATTCTCTTTCTCTAGAACTCTTGCCATTTGCTCCACATGTTTTATCTTCTAATAGTCATCTGGTTAATTTAGCAAGCTAGCTCAAATATATGCAATATATTTCTTTGGTGTCATCAGTAACAGTAAGATTCAATGTTTAATGTTTCCACTTTCAGTTCAGTTGATAACATGCTACTGAAACCTGTGTGACTTCTTTTTAATGATTTAAGCTTGAATTTGTTGTGATATATGACTGTTGTCCGGTGCAAGTTTATGCTACATTATTTACAAGTCGAGAGCATCAGTCCTTTTTTGATCCAGATAGATGTATTCAAAGTTTACAGACATAAGGAACTTAGCAAAACATCTGGATCAATATTTTAGAGCATATAAGCATGTTGTTGTAAAACGTTTACTTATAACTTTTTCTGTTGAAGCATCTTGACTGACTATGGTCGTCTTCTATAATCAGAAAAATTAGGAGATTTCTTATCATCATCGATTCATGTATGATTCAGTCTTAGATGTCCATACTGTGCCACTCCTTAAATCTACTCTGTTGGGCTCAAAAAATGCTCATGGTCCTATCTTTGAAGGTAGTCTCAATGGAAGCATATTGCCACTTTTTATAGACTATGTATTGCAACTTGAGAGTTTGATAAATGCAAGACAGTAACCTGTTGATGTTACAACTGTAAGCAGATTTGCTGGTAAACATATGGTTTGGGTTGCTTCAGTAAGGTTAAAACCTTAAGCCATTTTTCAAAGGATGGCCCTCTGAGAATAGAAATTTGGACGTCGTTGATGTAAATTCTATCATGGTTAGAGGAAAAGAATTAATGAATTTCCTCTGTAATTGCTTGAGGTTTCCATCACATGATTCTCTAGCTGAATTGTGAAGTCCAAGTGATTTGGAAGTAGCAAAAGGTCTTGATTTGTTGAGATGCAATCTTATTCTTTATTTGCAATTGGTTTTGAAGGCTTCTCTCTTTCTTTCCCGTGCCATTATCATACATTAATACTGACAATATAGGTGACACTAAGAATTAGTGTAGTTTATGGATTCCTGCACTTGACATGATATGTTTTCAAGCCACATGTCAAACCGTTATCTGACTGTTATGTGTTGGAATCTCTTAAATAGGGTGTTTATGTTGGGTATGTCATAATTCACATTCAGGAGGGTGATGACGCTGTCTGCTAAATAAGAAGACTCCCAGGTGTAGTGACGAGTTTGTTGTCTTCCAAGTTTGTTTCCATTTTTCTTCTCTTTTTTGGGTTTTTAGAAATTTATACAGATCATCCATATGATTCCTGTGTGTTATGGTTTACCGTTCTTGTGTTCTTTGTTCGTTTTGTCTAAATTTGTTGGTATCAGATGATACCATATCAATCTGTTTTATCTTTGATTTTCTCCGAACTGAATGTGGTTGTAGTAATACCTTTTTTTTTTTTTCTTTTATCTGTTTGGGTATTACTGTGTTTCATTCCTCAGCAGGATCAGATACCTGGTGTTGATTGTTATCTCTATTCTTTCGTGATAGTGCTCCTAAGAATTACATTAATGCCCTAAACTCTTACCACCTCCTCTTAAATGGATCCTCGTTCAAGTCTAAGCGACCGAGGATTTTTCGTCTTTGTCCTTCATGTTTGATCAGTTCTTGCTGTGATTTTTGGCTGAGTAGTTGTAGGAAAGTCTATGAAAAATGACTGATTATCAAGGCTGTGGACTTTGTCCTTCTATTTGGCTTTGTAAACCAGTACCATGCATTTTACTATGATTTCTGAGCTATGTTATGGTTACCATCCATGAAGCAGGTTTTCAGACGGTTGCTATTTTCATGCAGAACGGTGAATTGGAGAAAAAGGAGCCAGCCACAAATGCAGTAAGTCACGATGTGGAGGACTCATCAAACAAGGTACAAATTATTGCCCTAATTTATTGCTCTGAATTTGCTTCTTACGACAGGGGGTAAAGCTTTTTATATTGAAATTGAGTGTAGAATATGAATATCTTTTAAATATCTCTTTAACTTATTTCCTTTTTAAAGTAATTGTATATGTCAGCGACCCATTGAAATCAAATTTTAAGTTTGAGCCATAGGTTCGATACCACTGTAATTTGAAAATTCTTGCTCTAGAGACTAAAATATCGGTGTATCTAAATTTGACTTGGACCTTTCCATTGGGGCACATCTTGGAATTTTACTGCATGTTTTTCAAGCTGACAGCTTTAATATCCTTTCACGTATAGTTAGTTTGTTAGTGGTTTAAAATGAAGATTATCAATTTTGTTAGAGTTAAGAACATAGGAATAAAACATGCGGCGGTCAACTTTCTTGTAAGATTGGCTGGAGTAATAGGTGTTATGATCAAAAGCTTGTTCATAGTGGTTCAACCTGGAAAGCCGATGTTGGACCACCTTATTGTAAGCTTAAAGAGAAAAACACACTGAGAATGGAACTGCAATTATCTCTGCAGCTACGGCATCTTTATAGTTGATAATGTTGAAAGCTTCACTGTATTTGGATATGCTAGTTGCTTGCTATATTAATTTCTTTTTCTGTCAAGCTTATATATTGAGTCTAATGTACTTGTTGCAGATTTTCATTGGCGGATTTTCAAAAGCAATTTCATCTGAAATGGTATGCTGAGCTGTAATTCTTTGAAAACTTTTGACACGTTAAATCTTCAATTGGCCCCATTTCTATCGTTTCAACTTCTAGGATTGCCTGACTACTTTAACTTTTTTTCAGCTAATGGAGATTGTCAGCGTCTTTGGACCTTTGAAAGCATACCGGTTCGTGAGCAACAATGATCTCAATCAGCGATGTGCTTTCCTAGAGGTTAGAATATGCTTTTATCTTGGCCTTCTCTGTCGCCAATATTTTACTATCACTCTATATTCCCGGAAATTCAACGCAGATACCCCCATCTTAGTCTGCCATCTTGATGTAATTTCATATCTGTAATTGTCCATTTTCTGGGTAGCATGGGAAGATGTTTTTTCCTCGTAACTTGTAGAGAGTAACCGTGAATGTAACTCTAGTTCCAAGTATCCACATATTAACCACCCCTAACTCTTTTTAAATTTCTATACCCCAGTACACTGATGGATCTGTTACCCTCAAAGCTTGTGCTGGCCTAAATGGTATGAAGTTAGGTGGCAGTGTAATAACAGCCGTTTGTGCATTTCCTGATGCATCATCCATAGCGGTAATTCAGTGACCCAACTTTGCTTTCCTTTGTTCATGTTCTGTTTGTATGGGTGACATTGAACATAAATTCCTTTAGTTACTTGTGAGAGTGGTGTGGTATATAATATGTGTTGCAGGTGAATGGGAATCCACCATTCTATGGGATACCTGGTCATGCAAAACCACTTCTTGGCAAGCCTAAGCATATTCTAAAGTTAAAAAATGTGGTAAGCGTAATAGGTGTATTCTTTTTCTTGTGAATCTTTCCCACATAAACTATGTGAAGCTGTATTAACATTCCATTCTTTCTTGTTTGACAGGTTGACCCAGAAGATCTCACGGCGCTTTCCGAGCAAGAAGTGAAAGAAACTTTGGAGGATGTACGGTTAGAATGTGCCAGGTTAAGCTCTGAGATCATTCTTCCCATGAGTCCATTGAGCTATAAAAAGCTAGTAAATTAAGAAAAGAGGCCTCTGCGTCTTGTCGTGATGCAGGTTTGGGGTTATTAAGTCGATAAACATCGTGGAACACAAGAGCAAAGATATCACTGTTTCTGAAACAAATGCATTGTTGAACTTAGAATCAACTGATTCTAAAGAAATGAATGTGTCAGTGGTCCTGGAGAAAGACGAGGGATCCAAGAAAGCGGATGATATTGCAGACAATGTAGATCTTGCAGAGGTTGTCAGGCCAGACAGTTTGACAGGTGAAGACAAGTTATGTGAACCGTGCTCAGATACTGCTGCTGAGACAAACACGCAAGAACACGAAGATCAACACTCCACTGAGCAAGACCATTATGAAAAGATTGTTGAAGATATTACACTGGCCGAGGCAGAGAATCCGCAAGAAGTAGCATCAGTTCGTACCGTGAAGACAAGATGGGATGCTGGTGACAAGATAGAAGAAGAACAAGAACAAGACCCCGAGGATGTATTTGAGCCGGGTTGTATCTTCATTGAATACGGAAGACCAGAAGCCACACGTGATGCAGCCCATTCATTACACGGAAGGCTATATGATAATCGGATTGTGAAAGCAGAATATGTTTCTAAAGAGCTTTACCAAATCAGGTTCCCGAGTGGGTAAATAATCACACAACAAGTGAGACTGATCTGCGATTCTTCTCATCCTTACCACATAACTGATTCAAACCGAGTTCAGAGATACAATCAAAAACCCTTAAAAAAAAATCTCTTTGTACACGTTGGGATTGAGCAGGTTGGATTATTCATCACCACCTGTGTCTCGTTACTTTTATGCATTCGAGAATCCAAGAAGGGAAAGATGAAACCATACTTTTGTTATGGTGGCTATATGGTCCGGTTTTGTTTGAACCGGTTTGCTTTCTGAACTGAAATTGGCCGATAAACTGAAGTTAGTGTTTTTTGGTTAAGAGAACGTAAGCTTCTGGATGAGAAAGAGTGTTTCATTTTCCTACAAAATAATAAATAAATGAACCCAATCTCCTTCTTTATCCAAAGCCTCTATCGAAGCAGAAGGAAGTAACAGCAACCAAAAATGACGACAATGGCGACGCAAGGCGCTTGGCTACGAATGACCTCATCACCGAAGTCCGTGGCTAAGTCAACCGTGACTTCAAAGGAGCTTGGATTCCTCACCTCCCAGCTCAGCGGCGTCAGAATCTCTCACGCTCCCAGTGACGTCATCAACCGTATCACCGTTCCTTCGTTTCCCGGGATTCAGCCAATCGTCGCACGTAAATCCCCTTTTCTCTTCTTCCTAGGGTTTAGTCGAATGCATTCGCGTGCCAAATTTATCTTGCTTTCGTTTTATTCATGTCCAATTTCGAATTTTTGAGGTAGCAAGCTTGTGTTCAATTGCCTGGAACTATATCTCTTTGCTTTTAGATATAAAAATGAGCAGTGTGTTTAAGTTCCGTTGCATAATTTCTCGTATCAGACTTTTACTTTGATTTTTGATGTTATGTTAAAAAACAATCCCCAAAATTGAACAAGTTTAGATAATTTTGAATGCTGCTGAAAGGAGTTTCTGCCAAAAATCGTTTTACTCTTACTTGAATATGCTACTTTTTCATCATAGAATCCTCTTGAAACTGAGCATTTTGCTCCGTTTTTCTTGAAAGTGTTTTTGTTTTCGAAATGTCAGGTAGAATCTGCCCTTTTACTGGGAAGAAAGCAAACAGAGCAAACAAAGTTTCTTTCTCTAACCACAAGACCAAGAAGTTGCAATTCGTCAACTTACAATACAAGAGAGTTTGGTGGGAAGCTGGCAAACGTTTTGTCAAACTTCGTTTATCAACTAAGGCCTTGAAGACCATTGAGAAAAACGGACTTGATGCTGTTGCCAAGAAAGCCGGCATAGATCTTCGCAAGAAATAGCTAGTTGATGATTGATGATCGCAAAGTTTATATACATTTCTTGCTTCTCCTTTTGCACTCGTACATTTCCTTTCTAGATTTGGTAAGTATCAATGGAATGTCTGAGTTGTATCAGAAACTGTTTTCTTGTGAGCGGTCAAGAAAAGACTTTAAAGAGAAACGAAAACAAACTCTCACATGCGGGTGGCCCAAAAAATACATTTCATGGTTTTGTTTATGTTTCTCAGATAATATCGTTACAGGTATCAACTGAATTCTCGGGTTTTCCTTTCACTGATTTCTTAACCGAACCTTCTCCTCCTGCTGATCCTTTTAGTTTCCTCGGACGCGATGTAGCCTTCCGTGGAGGAGCTGAACCATCAGGCAGATGATTAGAAGCTTCCGTGTCGGGAGCCGGGATACCACCACGCCTCCTACGAACTGAAGGTTCCTGATCATTCGATGAGTCCATTGACCCGTGTGCGCTTCGGTTATGTCTTGAATGCTTTGATGGTTCATCAGATGATGCAGCACTTCCGCTACTTCTTCTAGGCGGAGACCCGTTTAGATTTGGAGAAGCTGCTCCCCCGGGTTTCCGCCTTGTTTTATGTTTCGGTTTCTCGTTGGTGTTCGAAGGCAGTAACTCTTTTAGCCCGGCTCCACGTTGGTTCATCCCTATTTGAGATACACATCAATTCCTCGAACCAATCCAGATTTGTTCCTCAACGCTCAACACTTTTGGATAAAAAAAATCTAACAAACAAAAAAATTAACCTTGTGGGTTGTATTTGTTGGAATTTCCCCTGGAAACGACTTGACCTTTGTCATGTTCTTGAGGTTTAAAGTCATTCATCTGCGGTTATTTACCAAAGAAAAGCAATGATCATAATTAATGAGCACAGATACGTATGGTCATGGATATGTATGAAAATATGTATAAATGTGCGTATGATCATACCCAGCTTGGCGTGTTGTTGGTTGGACCGTCGGAGCCAATGTGGGCAACATGTTTTACATCGGTCGGAAATCCTATCTGCATCTCCTGCTCTTTCTCTTCATCTGCAATAGAATAATTCATCCACCATGTTATTGACTTTTGACACAAGAAACAGAAATGATCATTTTCATGTTTAGGGAAAAATCGATGAGACTCACCAAAAATCTGAGTAATGTAACGAAGGCCCTTAAGAAGACCCTTCATTGTCGTCGCCATTGATCTATAAAGGGTTGGTTCCGGCTAATGTGTATCCACACGCCGGAGACAACCTTTTTTGTTCAAGATTTGACGATCGTAACCGTAAACCTAACTTGCAGAAAAAGGAAACGAAGAACAAATCAACAAAAGAGTTGCAAGGCACAACAAACAAACAACAATTTGCGAAATCTGAAGACTAAATTAACCTTGAACGCATGGATTTTCTCTTGACGAGAGAAAATGAAATGTTTTTTTGAAGAAGAGAGAGAGAGAGGGAGGGAGAGAGAGAAGGATCGAGAGATCTCCGAGAAGTGATTGGTTAAAGATCAACAGACCAAAAAGAAGAAAGAGGGAGAGCACTAAGTTTTGTTTTGTTGTTTTTTTTTAACAGAGGATAAAAAAATTTAGAAAAGAAAGAAAGATTTTCATAGTTGTAATTAACAGATAATTTTATAATTAGATTGTTGATTGGTAATGGAGGCAACGACGTAGAGCTATAATCAAACCCTCCATGGGAAACAACTTGTCAAGAGGATTTTCCGGGTCGAATGGAAGGAGACACGACCACACCAAAAATCTTATTTTACATATAAACCTTTGATTGAGAGATCTTAGATACTATATTGTTAAGTATACCATTATATTTCTTTTGATTATTAAGAGAAAGTGCATTAGATTGCAGAATGCAGATAATAAAAATGTGATAACTTATAACAATTATATTGATAGATTTTGCAATAATAGTAAGCAAAATGGTTTGAAACATGTTCAAAATTACATAACAAACACTAATTAACAAGAAGAGCTGATAAGATTGATTCGTATGTTATAAACTTATATAATATAAAGTGAACATTCAGATTGAAACCGACACATTATTCTGTTTCTTTTGGAGGGTCTAGTTTTAGAATCCAAAGAAGAAAGTTTAAACGAACAAAGATTCCGGCAAAGAAGATTTGATACCGGCGAATAATCATATGATGACTCAAGAAGCTTTCATGTCATCCATACCGACGCTAGCCTGCCAAAAAGAAAACAAGAACAAAAGAATCAAAGCCTGTTATGAAACTGAAGAAAGTGTAAAGACTTCAAAAGTTTTTAAAATCTTTGTTTACCAGAAACTTGTGATTATCTTGAAGAAACGGACCAAACTCAGCGCAAAACCTTTCCATGTCGGCATGGATGTCACCAGAACCAGATATGACATCCATGAACTTCTTCCTGTCTGGCGCTAGCTTTAAAGCCATCTGATAATAAAAAAAGTTTACAGTGTCTCAGGAAATCAAAAATGAGATTGGTTTGCAGAAATGCTGATTAAACAGAGAAAGCGCGAGTAAGTACATACAGAGAAGGTAGAGCTGGCGAGCCATCCGTGCCATTTCTTGAGTGTTTTTTGGTATGAGTCAGCACAAGCTTGTGGCATTGACCAATCTTGATGTGCTACCAAGTTGCGGAACAGCTCCACCAAGAAATCCATTGCTCTGAAAGATTCACTCATAAGTGATATATATGGTTTTGAGAAGCTGCTGTCTTCGAAATAGAGGTATGTATCGTTTACCTGGTTAACCAGAGAAGACCGTTGGTACAGCTAGACGATCCTTTTGCTGTCTTAGACTCAATTTCGACTTGAACAAAGGTGTACAAGTACTTGAACTTGTCGGGATCAGACAAGTAGTTCTTCTCCAACCTCTACATGAGAGACGGACCAATAATCAGCACAGCGGTCATGTTGCTAATACAGGACATTTTCACTAGCCTATTCTCCACTATCAGAGGTACACATTACAATGTAAGAAGAGCAAGAAAAAGGCCAGGCAATGCACTTTTGTCAGTAGTTTGTACTGTGAGTGTTAAATAGATTTGTGCTATTCGATCATCAAAATCTTGGAGACTAAAAGAGAACTTTACCGATATGTTGCCACCAATGTCAGATTTCACAAGAGTCATAGCAGCTCCAAATTTATCTGAAAAAATAGATTACCAAAAAAAATGAAGTCATGATATAGGAAACACAAGATTTGTATTTCATAAGAACAATGAACAATCATTAGAGTGTTGACGGAACAAAAAAGATGTCAAAAACTCCACTCACTAATATTTAGACAGACGAAGAAATAATAAAAAAGATTCTGCCTTTATTACCTATAACAGGCAAGATGGTCTTGCAGAGCTCTAAAAATGGCTTAGTAAGCATCTCGCCTTGTTCAGACTTAACATGCTTCATTCCTTCCAAACAAGGCGTGAACACAGTCCCTTCCATTTTCAACTTTGGCTTAACTGAAATATGAGAACAAACACAAGGAACAAAAGAGAAAAAAAAAACCCGATATTACATTTCGCAGTTTATAAACAACTCAATGAACAATGGTGATTCAGTGACCACAATCTTTCTAAAAATTAACACTGAAGAATGAAGGTAATCAACATTATACAAACCCAAAACTGAGCAACAACATAAACAATACTGAGAAACACATTGACTCAAGCAAAATGGTTATCTTGATTGAATCAAATATGAAAATCACTTTGTAAAAAAAGAGTCATATCCATAAAGGAAAATCGAAACAGCCAACAATCTTTATACATGCAGATATAGAACTATTTAAATCAGCTCCATTACAATGGAAATCCGGTACAAAAATCATAAAAATGGCGACTTTCATCAATCGGATCGAGACAAAGATCTAATTTCAATTGGATCCATCGATCAATCATAGCATCAAAACAGCGTGAGAAGACACAAGGAAACAAGACAATTACTCGAGATCTATCGATTCAATTGATGAGAATGACGAATTTAAGGCCGATCTCTACCGGAGAAGGAGAAAAATCGTACCTTTGCCTGAGAATTGAAAAAGTGGGATCAGATTCTTCTGCTACTGAGATTGGTCTTTTCGCTCTCTCGAGTTAGAAATTTCTCTTTTTCTTTTTAAACGGCTCTTGTTTTAGAAAATAATAATTTTGATATAGACCCAAACTTTAACATAATTTTGTAATAAAGCCCTAAGATTTGTTATTTGTCAATTACACCCTTCTCATAGTAAATGTAGAAAACACCGGTTTGGAACCAAATGTTTGCATCCATGGTAGTTTGATTCAGACGTTATTGCAGAAGAGTCTCTATATTGGTGGATACATCATAAATACTCAGTCACTATAGCTACAAGATTTAAAGTTCTGTAAAAGAGAGGATCCTTGACTATACTATCTTCTTATTCTTAAAGAGAGTCGATAGTATAAAGAATGTCACCAATCGAGGTCATCAATACTACTTCACTTAGATTATTGATCAAAATGGAGGAGAATTTTGTTTATAGATAGTATAGATGAACATGTTACTTCAAAGTTCAAACTGATAAATACAGTTAGATATGGGCGGTCTAGTGAAAATGGTGGTCCGAATAAAAAAAAGATTACAAAATTTTCTATAGTATAAGCTTTTAAAATTCTAGTATATACAAAATCATAATGAATACTTTCCAAGTAAGTTGTTCAGGATCAGAGGAATGAGGGTAAGATGTTCAAATCCTGGTATACCCAAGCCTACCTTACCACTATATAGTAAAGATGCCTAGTAGCATTCAAAGATGACTGAGGGGAAGGTTGATCATTATTTTGGGGAGTATACAAAAACTTAGATTTTTGAGAATTAATATTGTGGACCATGGAAAAAAAAGAACACAAATCCATAAAGTAATATAATATGGCACGAAAAATCTATATATAATAGCAATCTAATAAATACCATTTGCACATCTGAACGGTTGCGTCTTTTTATCGCAACTTTTCGTTAATGTTTTTATTAATTAAAATATATATTTTACGGTTATGTTTTTTTTATATAAATTGCATTCTGAATGTTTTCTACGGTTGCGTTTTTTATTGTAGCTCTTCATAAACAGTTGAAACCGCTTATTCGAATCATTGCAATATTTAGTTTATTTTACGAACAATTGCAACCTTTGGTTTATATATTTAGTTTATTTCACGAACAATTGTAATTTTTGGTTTATTTTATAAATAGCTATAACATTTAATTATCTACCGCCGCGTCTTTCGGTGTAACTTTTCATAAATTATTATTTGAATTCTTAATTTTTAATTACTAAAATATATTTAAATGAGATTGTAACTATTTAATTGAACTGTTTCAACATTTGGATTATTTGACAAATTATTGCAACTTTTGGTTTTGTGTTATGAACCATTGTTATCTTTAGTATATTTGATGAACTATTGTAACATTTGGTATAATTGACGAACCGTTGCAGTTTTTGGAATATTTGATATCTACGGTTGCGTTTCTCGGATAAGTTCGTCATATTTTTAAAAATATTTAAATACTAAAATATATTTAAATGAATTGTTGTTACCGTTTAATTTAACACAATAGCATTTGGTTTATTTGATGTTGAACGTTTTGGCTTATTTATCAAATCATTGTAATATTTGGTTTATTAGTTTATGCTTTTTGCACTTGGGAATAGTTTTTTAGTTACAAATTATTGTTTTTCTAATATAATATACTTAATAAATGCTTGTGAGGGTTTTCTTTATCATAATTTTTGTAAAATATATATTGATTTGTTATTAAAAAATTCAAAATTATTACAATTCATTATGATTTTTTTGTTTGATATTTTTTTAAATGATTTTTGAAATATATTCCCCCGCGACATCGCGGGGGTCCTGAGTCCTAGTATATGTAAAAAAATTGTATCAAAATAGTTTCTAAACAATAAACTTTAGGTAAATACAACAAATTTAGTGGTCTTTAAAATATCGTCATTATCATAAAAGAAAATAAGTGGCCCTTAAATCTTTTTTAAATTGGTAGTCCTAATCGTGGGTTTAGCATGCTTGTCCTTTGGACCGGTCCTGACTATAGAGAGATATGAAGTTACATTAATTTGTCGTTGTAGGTGTTTCATGTGGATACCAAATTTGAAACCAAACAAGGCTTTATAACGACTTTTTTTATATAACATAATAGAAAAGTGAAGAGACTATGTCGGGTCAGTTGGGTCTATAGTACTCGAGTATTTCCACGTCACGTAGTTTCCTTATCGTTTGTTGATTTTCCAATCGCTTGGTCAAAATTTTAGCATGTTAGTTCATCATCCATAGATTTTATGTGTTGATTTGTTGTCATCTAATTAAGACGAAAACTCAAATAAAATGATAGTTCACTTTGATTAGAAGCAATATAAATGAGGAATTGGCTGTCACAAAACAAGCCTAGTGAGTAAAAAGTATGAGCAACTAGAGTATCATTGATCCACTTTAATCTTACTCCATGTAATTTTCATTTTTCGTAAATTTCTCTACAACCCAATAATTATTGATCGCAACTAAAAATAATATTATGTTGAGACATACAACAAAGAACATGGAAGATAAAAAGAAAGAAGTCGATATGGATTTCGTTGACGACAAATCCACATTGTATTATTTGAACAAGAGACATGACTTTTACCTTCTCCTCACGCAACCGGCATTTGTTGAAGTCTCCCACTGTCCCTCCCTTGGGCCCTACCTTTAATGCCAAACCAACCCATTGGATTTGGTATTCTACATATTAAAAGTTGTACACTAATGTACGATATACGGTTCAACTAAATTAACCGTATGTTAAACTATATATTATTCACTTGTTGATAAATAAATTATGTTTGAATTTACAACAAAAATAGTTTTGGCACCCGCCACTGTACAATTTTATTCTATATGTTCCGCACTAATCACGCTTCTTTCGTACCACTTAATTTGTGATTTTCTCATTCTTGATCTTTGAATTTTATTAGAGGCAATTTAGTCATTTGTGAGATTAGGAGGTGTGTACGGACAAGTGTGTGAGACAAATAAAGTTAATGTGGAGGAGATCTCTAGTGGGACAACGCAATTGAAAGTCGTTTTAGAAGCAACTAAATGCCTTATTGACTTCTCCATTCTCCTTGCGATTTACGCATTTACCTAATTGCATCTTTTACTTGTTTAGCTTGTTAAGTTCTTCTACAACATTGCCACTTTTGCTCTTTTAAGTTATGGCAACTTGGCAACTTGTTTAAACCCTTTACCTTTATCAAAAACCAAAAACTTGGCAACTTGTTTGAGCTCCTGAATTAATTATATATCTTAAAAGACGTTTTGCGAGTACATGAGCTTTTCTTTATATAGATTCATATCATGAAAACTTTATATATGTCATGTATATATAGCTAGTAGTATAATAAAAATATATATTAGTAAGTCCGTCGTAGAACAAAAATGGAAAGACTTGATAAAAGCACGTCAATTCAATTTCATCTCCTAAAAATTAATTGTTGTAGAAAGCCAACCGTTTTGGAATTTCTTTTCTTTCGTTTTACGTAAGACTATAGATTCAATAACGTGTTGGTTTAGAAACCCATACTTATAATGGTTGACAAAAAGAAGAAATTAGAAAAACTTTATACATATACGCTAAAGTGTTTACAAAATAACAGGGTTATGTAATTTATTATCTGGATTAGGAAAAGATGATTGGACCATCCGATCGAGTGGAGGAATCTGCAGGGCATTTGTCACTTTCATCGACCCCATGAAATCACATCTCTTTAATTGAATTATCGAAATTTAGTTGCATACGCATCTTTTGTCTACGATTGGTCGTAGCACATATAAGAATATACCATAACTCCAAACTGACTTCATCTTCTAATAATACTGTTAATTATCGTTAATACTAAAAATTAGTAATCTATTTGTTCATATAGATATTCGATTCTTAGGTGATATTATTATTGGATGAGTAAATTAAATAAACAATCGCAAGAAAATGATCAAAAATAATTAAATATCTGAGGCTCTCTGTTTAGTCATGTTTTATATATGTGTTATGATAATATTAAAAAAAAAATCGTATCAATGTTAAATATTTTCACTATTTTCGAATTGCAACAATGATTACAATAGAAGCAAAGTAGACACAAAAAAATGAAATCTACAGCAGAAAACACGACAAGGAAAACAAAAGCGTTTAGCAACCAGCATAGGCCCAAAGAAGAAACACCGATTCCGAACCTTGAATCTCTCAGATATTTTGAAGCATTTCCTCAGCTCTAAAGAACTTGAATCATCATCGTCTTAGTTTTTGTTATGAGCTAAATTGTAATATATAATGAATGAAAACAATCTCTAATTGTTTACCTCCTATAGTCCTGTTACGCAATTTTCATGTGTTCAGATCAAGGAGTGGAAGTCGTTGTTTCGCAAACATTAGTGTCTCACGACAAACTAGCTCGTGAGGTCTTATATATGGTGGTAGACCCCACGAGCTAACTTTGTTTTAGTTTAAACATTTTTTACGAGCTCATAAACATATAAAAAAAGAAAAGAAAAAAATACTAAAACTCTAAAATAGTAAAGCTACCAAATTCAATTCATTACGACATGGCTCAAAATATAAAAAGTACGAATATGATACGATATCAAGTATCAACCCCATCAACATTGCTATAAAATAAACCAAAGTTTCCCTCTCCATTTTCAATAATCTCTCATCTTCTTTCGTCTCTCTTTCTACGGTTCAAACCTCAAACCTTAAAAAGAACGATGGAGAAGCGAAGCTTTATTAAGAACAGAGGAGTACTTAGATTACCACCAGGGTTCCGATTTCACCCGACCGATGAAGAGCTAGTGGTTCAATATTTACGTCGAAAAGTAACCGGTTTACCTTTACCAGCTTCTGTTATACCGGAAACCGATGTTTGTAAATCCGATCCATGGGATTTACCAGGTAATGAAATTCAAAAATCTACGTTAATTAGGGTTTCATTCAAATTCAATTTGGTTTCTGATGGTTGGTGTGTATGTACGTATGATGATCACAGGTGATTGTGAATCAGAGAGGTATTTTTTCAGCACAAGGGAAGCTAAATACCCGAACGGAAACCGGTCGAGCCGGTCTACTGGTTCGGGTTATTGGAAAGCGACTGGTATCGATAAGCAAATCGGTAAGAAGCAGCTTGTCGTGGGGATGAAGAAAACTCTGGTTTTCTACAAAGGTAAACCACCAAACGGGACAAGAACTAACTGGGTTCTTCATGAATATCGTCTTGTTGATTCACAACAAGAATCATCATATGTAAGAAGATTCACAAAAATTCGGATTCACATATATAAATCGATTCGAACATGAGCTCAAAAGTGTCTTTTGTTTTTGTTTGTTTGTTTTAAAAAAGGGACAGAACATGAATTGGGTTCTGTGTCGAGTGTTCTTGAAGAAGAGAAGCAATAGTAATAATAAGAGGAAAGAAGACGAGAAAGAAGAGATTGAGAATGAGAAAGATAAAGAGAAAGAAAGTGAGGAGGAGAATAATAAGAGTCCCATTTTTTATGACTTTATGAGAAAAGACATGAAGAAGAAGAGAAGAAGAAGAAGAAGATGCTGTGATTTGAATTTGACTCCTGCTACGTGTTGTTGTTGTTCGTCTTCTTCAGCGTCTTCGTCGTCTGTTTGCTCAAGTGCTTTAACTCACACATCTTCTAATAATAATCATCATGAAGAAATCAGTTGTAGGGAAAATAATAAGTTTTGTTTGTTTCTCTAGATTTAAAACAACTTCTTTTTAACTTTAATAAATTAATTTATGATGATTACCAAAGTGATTTATGCAATATTCCAGGATACACACGGTGGTTTCTCGTGGTAGTGTTTCTTGGTTTTTGTAATTAATGGCCACATTTTTTAGCTCATCTAATTATCAAATATTGAACACTGGTTGACAAATCTGGTTGATCAAATATTTAATTTGTTATGTGTGTCAATTAACAAGGACCAACCATCTAGCTAACAATTCAAGCAATCAATCAATCGGAGACTAATACTATACTCCCTCTGTTTCATAATAAGTGTCGTTTAAGGTTTTTGCACACATATTAAAAAAACAATTAAATTTTCTATTTTATCTATTATCTATATATTTTTTTATTTTTTCATTGGTCAATACATTAAATTAGTAGGGACAAAACTGGAAATTTTGCCAACCATCTGCATTGAAAACACAAAACGACACTTATTTTAAAACAAAATTCAAAGGCTAAAACGACACTTAATATGAAACGGAGGGAGTATTAAAGATCACTCTTACAAAAAAAAAACACTCTTACAAAAAAAATTAGAATAAAATCAGATATCCATAAAACATAAATTAATTTATTGAGATTTCTGGAAAACATTATATGTTAAAAATAGAAAATGCATAATGATTATATCTTTCAATTGTTGGGTTGTTTTTAATTGATGTCTAATTTTTTGGACAACACCTTTTTATCCATACCGTAAAAAGATCATAACAATGATAAGAAAACTCTCATGTCATGCCGAGGTCGAAAATTATTTAATTTTAGTATTAAGAAAATCAGTGAATGTCATATTATGGTTGTAAAATACGTATGGTTTGCCTAGGTACTGAGTTTTTCGGCACTTCTGTCGCAAATTTAGAATCTTAAAACTATACGAAAACTTCAGCTTATCGTATGGCAATGTACATATGGTATTCAATATGAATTTCAGTTTGCTTTGAATTCTGATTCTGGAGTTAAAAAATAATAATATTTTTAAACTCCAAAATAAAACACAATATAAGATATATCTTTAATCTTCAAAGAAAATTAATTTTTGTATATGGGTTAGATTTAAAATTCATAAATTCGTTTATGGTTTGATTTTCAGATGGATTATTTTGGTTAAGGTTTGATAATGTAAATTGAGCAAAGCATAAAGCATGTGCTGTCATCATTAATTACACTTGCTGACGTAATTAGAAGCGAGAATAGTATGAAAAAAGAAATTGATAAAAGGACGAAAGAGAATCAAAAGAGACGACGAAGTCAAGGATCACAGGTTTAACTTTTCCTCTAAACAAACGCTTTTTTCTTTATTTGATTTTTCTTATTTTCTTTGTGTTTTTTTTCCTCTGGTTTTGATTTTTCCTGGCATTATTAGTTTTTTTTCTTACGTTCTTGAAAAAAATGGCGTAGTTGGAGAAGAAGGAGACGAATCGATCATCATCTACCTACTTGGCCGTTCTTTGCCGTCGTCGTCGTTTTCGATTTTCCTTTGATTCGCCGGAGAAATAGCATTTCCGGCCATGAAAACCTCTCTCCGACGGTTACGAGGGGTGCTTCATAAGCATGAATCTAAAGACCGGAGAGATCTTCGAGCTCTGGTTCAGAAAGACGAGCTTGCCCAAGCTTCGCAGGTGCCAATCTCTATCTCTCTAATTCGAATTTGGACTGTTTCTATTTTCTTCATGTTAGCTGTTTGATGATGAGGCGATTATCAATCATATCGTCGCTCTAGGTGAATTAGTTTCCAATTTAAGCTTAGTGGCAACGATTTAGGAAACGGTGTAGATTCAGATGTCAAATTCACGAAAATTGTGGTGGATCCGCTTTAATCGATTTAATCTGAGCTGCTCTTGTAGCTTTTACGTTTTCTCTATCTGGTTAAGTTAGATCATCTCTTTCACTTGACCTACCAAATTGACTGATTGCAGTTTTGTTTGTGGAGGTTGTTTAGGTGTTTCAATTTGGTGTTCTCTGTTTTACGAATGAGATTATTGAGATGTTGATGTAACTGGTCTCACATTCTTTAGCTTGTTTTTGATTTTCGCAGGACGTAGAAGACATGAGAGATTGCTATGATAGCTTGCTCAATGCCGCTGCTGCTACTGCCAATAGTGCATATGGTAATCTATTGTTTCTTTTGCTTTGTTTGGATTAAAGTAACCAGCTAACTTCATAACTATACTATTCAGAATGGATTACGCTAGCGGGTAATGGTGTTTAGCTCTAATACTTGTAGTGTTGCATTCTCATTTTACTGGTTCAAACGTATAGGTCTATATTTGAACTGAATAGGACCTTCATTTTTCTTTTATAACTCTTAAGTGAATCTCTTGCATCCCAATGTATGGAGATAAACATCTTCTTGTTAATAAATATATATTCTTATCATTTGCAGATTTCGTTTGCTTGCAGAATTTTCTGAATCTTTGCGAGAACTAGGTGCTTGCCTTCTTGAGAAAACTGCGCTAAATGATGATGAAGAAAGTGGTAAGAATTTTCTGAATCTTAGTCAAGCAGATTCGTTAAATATATCATATTATCTCTCATCTTACTGCTTGAACATTTGAAACCGACAGTTTGTGCATTTTTCCCTTTTCCAAGTTTTCTACTCATTACATATATTTCTTTTCTGTTGCTTCGATCTATATAATGGGCCTCTGATAAGAAACATTCTGCTTCTCTTATTCTTATGCAGGTAGAGTGTTGATTATGCTGGGAAAATTGCAGTTTGAATTGCAAAAACTTGTTGATAAATATGTGAGTTTTTGAGATCTGGTACAAACTGGTTTAATATTTTCCACCAAAAAAAATTCAATTAACTATCTATATTGTTGATTCAGCGGTCTCATATTTTCCAAACAATTACAATCCCCTCAGAGTCACTTCTAAATGAACTCCGCATAGTTGAGGTTTGTTCAAATCTGTTATATCTATATACTTTTGCCAATGGTCAGAATGGCCCATCCGTACTGCGTATAAATGAACTTCCATGTTCACAGAACGAAATTTTAGCGTTGCTTGATAAGCTTGCTGATTCAGCCCTTTCAAGTGACGATAGTAATGTGTTTTAATTGTTTATGCAGGAGATGCAGCGGCTTTGTGATGATAAAAGGTTGTTCTTGCCTCGCCTTCTTATTCATTTCTAAACACCTATTAGTGAGACAGGAAATTATATCTGAAATGTATTACCTTGCTATAATTGAAATAAAGAAGTTAACGTTACATCTATATTTTGTTCAGTTTTTAGAGATACATGAGTTTTGTAGGTGATTAATCAGAAATCTGATTGGTCTCATGAGGGGATTACCGTTCCATAGTTATTAAATTATCTCCTCCTCAAAATTTCCTTACATGTTAGTGGGCAAAAAGTATTCTACTCATGAAACTCTTTACCTTTCAGGAATGTTTATGAAGGCATGCTTACAAGACAAAGAGAGAAAGGGAGATCAAAGGGTGGGAAAGGAGAAACTTTTTCGACACAGCAACTACAAGAAGCTCATGATGAATATGAAAACGAGACGACTTTATTTGTTTTCCGTTTAAAATCCCTGAAACAAGGGCAAACACGTAGTCTTTTGACTCAGGCAGCACGGCACCACGCAGCACAGGTTTCATCTTGGGCTGTTTTTCATCTTTCTGTTTCGATCACCAGAGCACTCTTTGATGTCACTTTTTTGTGTGGTTTTGCAGTTATGCTTCTTCAAGAAGGCTCTTAATTCCCTTGAGGAAGTGGACCCACATGTACAGATGGTAACCGAGTCACAGCATATTGATTACCATTTCAGCGGATTAGAAGATGATGATGGGGATGATGAAATAGAAAACAATGAGAACGATGGTTCTGAGGTGCATGATGATGGAGAGTTGAGTTTTGAATATAGAGTTAATGACAAGGACCAAGATGCGGATTCTTCAGTTGGTGGCTCCTCAGAGGTGATGTTTTCATATGTTTACGGTTCTGATGATATTTCCTATTTATCCTTTTTGGTGCATTGGTTATCACTAATAGAAAAGTGATACTCCATGTTCCAATGTATCTCCTAAAGGTGACCTATATATTAAAGAAATTATAAATGAGGTTAATACGGCTAGCAATTTGAAATCCTTTATCAACAAAAAGGTCATATAGAGATATGACATTTTTTTTCTGGACCACTTGTTGCTAGAGATGACGAATGACGAATGCCATTTAGAATAGAATTGGTTGAAATTGTTTAAATTATCAGTCTTGAGTAGTTTGAATCTGGTGCTATTTTATTTTTTAAACCCGTTTCCTTAATAAATGTTTGCCTAATGCATGCAGTTGGGTAACTCAGACATCACATTTCCACAAATTGCAGGACCATATACTGCACAGGTAAAACAACCGTGTTTTATTTTTGATCACATCTCTCTGCTTTTCCTTTCAAATGACTCAGAAAAATTCTCAGGATGCTCATAGTTCAAGGAATTAAATTTCATTCATCTTTACCAGGAAAACCACCAATTTATTTCAATTTTGCACGACTCTCTTACCAGTCTTTGTCTTTTTATTTTGTTACCAGGAAAATGAGCAAGGAAACTACAGGAAATCTCATTCGTTTAGGAGAGATGTTAGGGCAGTGAGCCAATCAGCACCGCTTTTTCCCGAGAATCGCACAACTCCTCCTTCAGAGAAGCTGTTACGGATGCGATCAACTCTGACACGGAAATTCAACACTTATGCATTGCCAACACCTGTGGAAACAACGAGAAGTCCCTCATCTACTACAAGTCCAGTTAACAAAAACGTGGGGTCATCTAATCCTACAAAGGCAATTACAAAACAGATTTGGTATTCATCCCCACTGGAAACTCGTGGACCTGCAAAGGTTTCAACAAGATCAATGGTAGCCTTGAAAGAACAAGTCCTGAGAGAGAGTAACAAGAATACATCTCGGTTGCCTCCGCCTTTAGCAGATGGACTCTTGTTCTCTCGTCTCGGTACGCTTAAGAGACGATCCTTCTCTGGTCCACTGACAAGTAAACCATTACCTAACAAGCCTCTCTCTACAACATCTCACTTATACTCTGGTCCGATCCCAAGGAATCCAGTTTCCAAGCTGCCAAAGGTGTCATCATCTCCAACTGCTTCCCCTACATTTGTCTCAACCCCAAGAATAAGTGAACTCCATGAGCTTCCTAGACCACCACCAAGAAGCTCTACAAAGTCCTCTAGGGAATTGGGATATTCAGCTCCCTTGGTTTCGAAGAGCCAATTGCTTAGTAAACCTCTTATTACAAATTCAGCTTCTCCTCTCCCTATACCACCTGCAATCACTCGTAGCTTCTCTATACCTACTAGCAACCTTAGGGCGTCAGATTTAGATATGTCTAAGACAAGTCTGGTCACTAAAAAGTTAGGCACTGCCTCGCCTCCTTTAACCCCAATGTCATTGATCCATCCACCGCCACAGGCTCTTCCAGAGCGTGCAGACCACCTAATGATGTCCAAAGAAGAGGTAAACCATTAATTCCAATGCTTCTTTTCACTATCTATTAGTTTTTTCGTGTGGTTTAGAATAAGAAAGTGATCATTTGTGTCACGTTTAAGTAGATGTGAGCAATCCGATTTTTGGTTCCCGTCCGTAAAGTTCTGTCAAGTGTAAAATCCAGAATTGTGCTGATATACGTTCTAATTGGTGAATTTGCAGAGGAGGATTTAAGATGTAAGATGTTTGTAGCTGCCTAAAAACTGTAGGAGGAAGGCATTCCCTATAGTTGCAGATATATGTAAATATCCTCCCATTTTTAGTTTCACCGATGATCTTAGTTTTTATATCACATATAGTAGTAGATCGATTCCTGTTTTGAGAATGATGACAACAACAAAAGTAGAGGCAAACATTTATAAATAATTGCCTGAGGAATTTTGGTTTTTCTTCTATCACTTAATTGTCAAAATTCATGTACTTTCCGGACCTTCTTCATTTATAATCAACGAAGCTTTTGGTTTTTTTCAGTGATGTGACATGTTATACGTCCGAGATTTGCGGGTTAAACTCCTGTGGGGGTCTGTCTTCTTTGGTTTGGGTTAAGAAACTTTGCTTCTAGAAGTTAAAGAAAAGCAGTTTCAAGGATACTAAATTAAGAAACTTTGCTTCTAGAAGGTTAAACATAAAAATTACAAAAAGCTTGCCACATTAATACAGCTGAAGATCGATCATTTGGATTTACAAGATAGTTGAAAGTAGAAAAAACAAAAGTTCCTAACTTATGATCTCGCATGTAAAACCTAACGTGGAGAGACATTTAAGGATCTGTAGCTTTCACAAATCTGCCCTTAACACGCAACCTGGTCTCGGCTCTCGCCTTCCTCGTTTCATATCTTATGGTCTTATCATATCTGATGAAGCAATTACGAAATAGTGAATTCGAAAGACAATCAACTTGCAAAAGGGAATTTAGAAGAAAAAAACGGAGAACATCCTTACCTCCGTGTCTTCTTCTTTTCCTTGTACCGCTGCATAGCATTGTCTCTATTCTGTGCCATCTGCTCTAGATCAGCATTTGTTGTTGCCGCCAATCTTGTGGCTCTATTACTAGTCATGGCAATATGGTCCGTGCAATGCAAGTCACTGGAGTCGTTAGAACTTTTATGCCAGTGAATGGCAGCGGGAATATTGTTGCACTTAGATGTTTCCTGTCCCTTGGTGGAAGTTGAGCGGATGGAATCATTCTGCTACATTTTACTAATAAGTATGACAGTTTTCACTGACAAAGATATACCGAAAAAGTAGTTTGAATTAAGATATAACTAAACCTACGTTCATTCAGTCCAAGATGTCGTAAATTGATGTATAGTTGAAGAGGTAAAACCAATAGAAATAAGCTTAGAAGATGTAGAGCTACACATGTCACATGAGTAAATCAGTCACCATATAGGTATAGAGTGTTTTGGGAATGGTTTTGGGGATTGGGAGAACGATCTCTACTTACGATAAATAAAGCGGTGTCTGATTCCAAACCTAATCGCAGTCAGTTTGCTACTAACCTGGTAAGTCTCTTTGAAAGCTTTCACATTGGTGGTTTGGGTATCGTTCTTGAGATGAGTGACGTTGTTGAATGTGAAAGTAGAGCCTTTAGATTCAACTGGACTAGGTTCCTCAGGGTTCCTGGACTGTCCCAAGTTAAAATCCCATATCTGTGGAACCCGAGAGACCATAAAACAGAGTTATATCTCCCATAAGTCTTGACAGATTTTGGAGGCCTAAAGATCCAATTGAAGAACTATAACATGTTCTAAGCACAAACATAAACCTCATAAATCAATTGATAGAGATAGACCTGAGTACTCTGGACACTGCTATGATTGGTAGCATTCCATTGCATTTGCATAGCATTACCACAATGACTTTGGGACTCTGCTGACATAAGCAAAGATGTAAACGACGTCGTTGGAGATGGCTGACAAATGCTTCCTCCGCCATTAATTCTCTCCGGAACCATGATATCTCCTCCGCCGTCACCACCAACGAAGCCTCTCTTCAGCAACTCAAGCTGTTTAATCACTACCTTCTTAGACCTCCCCAAGCTAAAGCTTTGCTTTTTGATCGAAACATCATAAGGAACGATCAGATCTTGAACGCAGTTAGATCCAGAACCCCACGAATCCAACGCCATCCCAAAATTCTTAGTCAACTCGTCTTCTTCCTCTTCTTTCTTCTTCCCCTCCAAATCGATTCCCCACACAGCAGCAAGCTCCAAAACCGAAGGACAACCAGAAAACCCCTCCACGGCGGAGCGTTCGTGCGTCGCGGAGGAGGAACAGCTTCCGTGAACATCCCAATCACAATCCTGACACAAGACGAGATTATCGGTGAAGCACCGTACGGACACCGGCTCTTTGCTACAGTTATCACAGATCTGAGAACGAACATGCTTCCTCGAAAGAAGGTTTGCCGAGTGCACGTGCTGGTCACAAGGCAAACAAAGCTTCGCCGTATCGGCTCTACAAAACAGAACCGCCGTTCTCTCGCCGCAAAATTCGCACGACACCACACTCTCCGTAGTAGAACCACCCATTTTATGTTGAGATGATACCTTCACAATTATCCCTCAAAATCTCACTGATTTTATACAGCGGAGAAGAAGATCAAGATTACGGAAGATGATATTGGTGGTGAAGTGATCGATGGAAGAAGAAGAAGATGACATAGACATTTCTCAAAACTCAAGCTTTTTCGGTTTCCAGTGAATGCAGAAGAAGATGTCATTAATTGATAATATCTAACTGTTTTGTACCGGAAATAAAGTTTCATTACATGTGTAATTTAATTACTTGGGAATAATTGGCTACATTACAGTGTATGGATTTGTTATATAATTGACGGTGCAGATTTAGATGAAGATAGATCTGACGGTGAATAAAATTTGCCATTATTATTTCCTTTGGATGGCGAGTAAATTAGTAATGAGCTTTTGGGTCTTTGACTTTATTTTCTAATAATTGAAGATTATATTTGAATCTTATTAAGAGTGTTTTAAGGTGTAAGATTAGAAATATAAGTAATCCAAAAGCAGCTGATTAATAGCAAAGTTTGCATTCTATCTTTTGTAAGGATGAGAAGGAGAAAACAGAGGGTTATGTGGGGTAAAAATCCAGATACATGCACAAGGATTTTTAGCCAATGTTCCTGCTAAGCCCAATTGTCTAAGCCCATACTAGAGATTGCATGGAACATCCTAAATCCAGTCGTGAATTCATTATGCGTTGAACCAATCAACCAAGTATCCATTTCTTGCAAGTTCTGAGTTAGAAGGTAAATGCTCCTTTTAAAATTCACCAACTTATGTGACAAATCATTATTGGTTGTATTGTTGTATTGTTGTTAGTTAACATTTAAATGGGAGATGAATCAAGTGTTACAATCATTGCCCATTATGTGGTGCGAGAAAACAAAACATCCAACCTTTGTTATTTTTGGATGCCCTAAGTTTTTTTAGACATGTTATTTATCTATTATGTGGTTCACACTCACTTGGAATGGATATTCTATATTCTTACACATTTTACAAATTTTGATTTCTTACTATGTAGATAATCTAGAGAAAAGCACCTTGTAAATTCGGTTTCAAAAGTGTGCATATAAAAGGACTTCAATATTCAATTATTCTTTAACAAATTAACTTTCATTATCTATATCACTTGAATCTAAATACTTCGAGCTCTAAGACAAATATATGAATTCATTACAACGAAAATTAACAAAACTCAACCTTTAAAAATAACCTTAAAAGTCATTAAAAAAGAAATTGAACTATATATACTAAACAAAACAAGATTATATATTCAATTCGATTTCTTAAAAATCTTCCAAGAAAAAAGCAAAATGGAATATGGATTCGATAAGGAAGGAAGGAGAGGAGACCCACACACAAGAACAGAGTGACAGACACAATTTGGCGTCTCTTTCGATCTGAAACATCTCTGTCTCTCCTCAGAGATTCCCTTCTTTGGCCCCATTGTCTCTCTTTCTGTATATTACGACTCTTAAAAACCTTTTTACCATCTTTGTCCAAAAGAGAAAAAAAAAAAACCTTTTTACCACCAAAATATATAACATAATTATTTTTTTCTTTTTTGATAAATTATAAAATAAAATTATATTTTGGTAAAAAAGCAAAATCTTTTTTCTTGGAAAAAAGAAAGAAAGAATTACACTGGATTGGAGTGGTCGTCGCTTTCTCTTTCAACACTTCCAACAGATTCCCTTTTGCACTTCTCTCTTTCACTATTTTCACTATTTTTGTTTTATCATTATTTTGCTTACGGAAACGTCATTTTCCTCCAGACAATACTTTTATTCCCTAAATATATATATGGATATAATGTAAAAATGTTTTTTCCCCTATATATATTGGTCTACCACAATTCCTTCTCTCTAGCTATCTTCCTTTCTTTTTTGCATTTTGTGCAAAAAAAAATGTAATTAGTTAGGTAGTTATCTCTCTTTGCATGTTTGTTGTGTTTGTACGTATGGTAAGGGTTTTTTACCAGTTCAATAATAAACGTTATGCAAGTTCAAGTTATACATACATCTACCTAATATCTTAATTAACCACACTAATACATACAAATATAGCATGCTTCATGTTTGTACCAAAATATTTTAAATATCACATGTCTTTAATAGTTTGGGTTTATTGGCTTTCTTTTCTCATCTTTTTTCATTCCTTTTGTGTATTGTTGTTTCATAAACTAAGGATGAAAGTAGGAACATGGTGATCATGGTCTTGACTTTTTTTTATTTTTTTTTAATTTTTGACGTGATGTTCTTGACGTGAAGTGAGATATTTATGAAAGTTTTCACAAATTTCATAATTGCGCACGTATAAATACTTTACTCTAATGTGCTAAAATGTTGACATTTTGCCTTTACTTTCTTTATAATTTGGTTGACTTTCTCTAAAATAAAAATGTTTGATTCTTCAATGATTTTGCTCCACCCATTATATTACATTATTAGGCTTTGGCTATTTTAAATTGTCATCTCACGGCCAGATTCATTTCATTTTCGAGGTTAGTACTTGTTGTCGTATAGTCATTCTATCCTGGGAATAATCATCCTGTTTGCTATTGACTTTTGATGTATGCACCAAACCTCAAGCTAGCCATCGATTTTTAGATTTGAACTCACATATTTTTATAATATTTATTGGGTTAAGGTTATATTTTGTTGCATTTCACTCTAAAAATGTTTAAAGTATAAATGGATTATATGAATATGTGCCAAGTGACCGTCTTTGCAAGAAGATTGATGTGTTATGCATTAGACTATTTCAAAATTCGTATATTGGGTGTAATCGTGACCGTACGTGAATGAGATGAAAATGATAATATTAATGTGTGATCGATGTATAAAAATATAAGTATGAAGCTATGTGATCTGGTTTTGATTGAGTGATTTGTGGATCTCAATAAATGTTTGTAGACGAAAATGATCTTATATACCGAGTATTCTTAGTCCTGCCTGATTAAAGATTGAATGTGTTTAAGGCGTGATAAAACCTAAGGGATTGGAGTAGAATTTAGGATATTATCATTGGATGCGTTTTATTGGTTCAAACTTTTTATCCGAGTGAATTGCTTGAAAATGTTGATGGTAACCATTTATTCGCAAGAAAACCGATGGAGATATCATGATCATGAACTATATGGGTTTGGATTAAGTTGCTCATGAATCAAATATTCAAGTGCTATTTGCCAAATGAAAGACTGAGATATAATCATAAAACTAAATCCAAAGGATAAAATGTTATTAGAATATTTTTATATGTACAGAAAACTGAAATTGTTTAAAAAAACTAAACAACAACAAACGTTTTTTTTTTGGTGAGAACAACAACAAACGTTTGATTAAACATTGAGAATAACTAAATTAATGTAAAAAAAAACTAATGTAAAACTAAACAACAACAAAAATTAATGTAAAAACTAAATTTGTTTAAACATTGAGAATATTTTTGATAAAAATTTGAATTCGATTCAAACCGAAATTGTAACAAACTTTTTATAATACATTGATATCAAAAAAATATGAAAAATCAACTCATAGAACTAAAATTCAGATTAAACACCCTTTGCTGCGATCTTGGGAATGGGATTAGTATAACATAATGAGCTGTGTTTTAATAATTATGTAAGATTTCAATGCTAAACAAAATCGAAATAACAGAATAAAGGAAGTTCCGGCATTCTTTTCGATATCTACGTTAATTATATTTTAATTTTACAGAGTTTTTCCTTCTTTCTAAAACAAAAATTCTCAGGTTAACCCACTTTAACCCTTCCCAAGATTTGAACTTTTATTCTCTTCTTATTTTAAACCGATAACACCACGCGCCTAACCATCGCGTGTACACCTAATGGTCATACGTTTTCAAGAACACGGTAACACGGACGTGAGACAAAAGTGCGAGAGAGCCTCTGTGGTCACTTTGGTCTCTCTGACAGTTACGGGTCCACTTTCTCTTTTACCCAAATATCCTCACGCGCTTCTTCTACAGGCGCGTGAACTTTCAAACCAACCAATGCTAAATTCCCGAAATTACCCCTCCTCACTCTGTTTCTTTTTTTGTTTTCTTCGTTCTCTTATTTTTCTCATCAAAATAATCTCTCTTTTGTTTCCTCTTTCTTCTTCTTCTCTGCGTCCTTGAGGGAAGAAAAAAAAAGATGAAAGCACCCAACATGGAGACGATAACAGAGTCTCTGGAGAAATCGATGCAGAATTTTTCTCTGAATGATCGGAGAAGAAGGGTCGTCGGAGATGGGTTTGGGAGATCGTCTAGCAACGAACATACTCCGATCTCAGATAGAACATTGGAGCTCAATTCTCACTTATCTCTTCCTTGTCACTGGGAACAGTGTCTTGATCTTAAGGTAAACAAATGAGATTCATCTATCTATTTTTTATTTTATTTTTTGCTTTCTAGGTTAAACTAATCACTACAGAAACTTCGAACTCGTGTCGTTTTCGTGTTTTGGATTGCATTAAATGTACATTGGGGGATAAATTTTTCATTTTAATTAAATGTTTTTCTTGTTTCTTTCTGATGCATTTATTGCTTCAGACCGTATAAATGTTTACTCATAGGGCTTTTGGTTTCAGGCTTTGTGTTTAGGGAAAGATGTTTGCCTTATATGGAAAACTTTTGCAGAGATTTAAATGGTAAAAAGAAAGTTAAAAAGCTTGTTTATGAAACTAAGTTCTGGGATTTTTGCTTTTAGATAAAAACAAAAGAAATTTTTCATAGCTATTTGATGCTTTTTATCAGCCAATCTTTGATTTCCTAAATATTATTATTCTCATAACTAAATTAAACAAATAAACAAATGTTTTTGTTTTTCATGTTCAATGATTTGTCTAAGAAATCAATGCCCACTACCACAAACATACATACAAAAAGTACATAGTCATTTGCTCATATATAGATCTAGGACCAAAGCTTTTGTCTTAACACATTTTTGGTGCATTGCAATTTGCCAAGAAAGTAACTTAGAAAAAGGATAAAACTTTATAGTAATATCAAAAAGAGCACTTTATGAT